CTGCAACCCTATAAGGCGCTCCCATCGCGACCAACGTTGCCGCCTGCGTCAATGCCAGACCTACGGCCATCTTTGCTCCTTGTCTAGCAGCTTAGGGGCGTACGTAGATGGTGATGCAGCTTGCAGCGATCTGAAAGGGCATGATGGTTTGGAATATTATCTTGAATTATGACAACATATGTTGGCTTGAACTGTTTCAACGTTTCGCCTTCTTACAATTAGATTAGTATGATGGGGTTTAGACCTTGCGCTCACAAAATTTTAACGTCAATATAAGACTATTTAAGAGTAGTAATTAATAATAATGATTGATGCTGGAAACCCCTGCTATAACGATTTATCTGTTTACAGTACGAGTATGTATTACTCTATCGAAATGTTTAAAACATTACAATAAACACCATGCGCTGCGAGTGTCATAGTCCGGCGGGGATATTACCACATAACACCTACTTTATCAGGGAATCTGTAATGCTAAGGTTTGTCACACACAAGTTTCTAGCGCCATGCTCCGATCTTTTTATAGAACCTATACGAACTGTTATAGAACAATAAATATAGAATATCTAGCGCCATCTTTTTCCCTCTTACACTGTGGAGCTAAACTTAATTAAATATTCAAATTATATACAAGATATTTTAAGCAAAGTAAGGCTCAAACTGATTTTTTTTTAAAATTTGTATTTTTAACACAATACATAAAAATAACAGTTATGCAAGTTGTCAGTAATATAAAAATAATCGGTTACCGATGTACCATCGTGTGCTTAAAAATTGGAACAGCACCTAATCTGTTATCAGACATGCATTGCCAAAGATCTCTTAGCAGTGTGACAGGCCCTTGTTATTTCTTTATAAGGTCATGGATAGTTCAGGAGATACGCGATATCCATGTGGTGGTACCTATGTAAAGCATAAAATAACAATCTTCTTGAGAACAAATGAGCCATTAAATTTACTATTAGCAATTTCTCTACTCCCTTCATGAGTTTAACGACTATTCCGGACACTTTTGGAAACCATACCTAAAAAGAGAATTGAATTTTATTACGTTTATGCTAGGTAAATTATTCCAAAAATTGTGCAAATGGTAAATACTGTAAAAGTTTTTAGGACACCAAAATGTTCGAATCATTGATTATTCACTGATTGCACAGTGCATGTACCTCGTTTATATATATAATCAAAGTTATTACTTACTTGAAGGTTCAAGTTCAGGAAGGTGTAATGTAGGAAAAGCTGTTCTGTTCAGACCTTTCTTGGTTCCAGGCACTTTATCACTGCCCGGAAAATGTAAATCACACATCAAATGTCTTTTATACATTTTTTTTTATTATCCAAAACTGGATTTTGCACTTGCTCTCGATTTGTTAAAATGAACGGCATCATATTTAGGAAATGTATGCCTTTTACTGATTGTATCGGTACAACCAGGCACCACATACTTTTAGAATCCCCGCTTTCGATACACACACAGATATTAATTTGTAAACTTAAATTCAGTTTAACGCTCAATAGATATCAGTATCACAACTGTGGTTGTACTCCGTACTAACTATATAAGATTATTTAGTTGCCTACCAAACATGCCTTCAAAGTCACTCAACTTTCTTTTATAAACTAGGTGTTATGTGGGTATTAACCAAGCATAATCCACCAACAAAATACAAAACACGAGTGAAGTGAAACCTGTGATCATCTTTTTGGTTTGGAAAGTATCCCGCAGATCTTTTTTCGAAGTTCGTTCACAACTTATTGAGCGACTTATTCGACTTCGTATATGCAGATTCTTATATATTTCTTTTGCAGTTTTACCCTCTGTCATACTACACAATATCTAATTATGGGAAATTTGCCTCGAATCTGCTGTGCAGTAAATTATCGACTTTATGTGCCATATTGTACACAACAGATCTAATTTCAGCGTTCTATGCCACAAAACATGAAAAAATTCCCTGCGCTCAAAATTGATTCTTCGATCTGCAGCTGTTGTCACGAGAAGGAAAAGATCCGTCATAGTAGCAGCGCCAATAGTCTGGTTAGAGTTTTCCTTACGTAGAGAAAATTAGCAAAAAGGTACATATGGTTTCGTTGGATGGAAACAAAACGGTTTAGCATGCTATGTCCAATTGCCACTGCCAGATACACTTGGAGGTGTATTACCCCCGTAGAAGACCTAAAATATATTTCTCCAATAAGCTGATCGACTTCCTTAGAAGTGACCAGTGAATAAACCAGTGAGTCCCAGTGGAGGATCATGATTTAGCCACTCACAAGAATCGTAAAGTAACCTTCTAATTGTTAATTAGTTGTAATATATTGATTTTTTCTAAAAAGCGCAGATAGTACCTATGATGGAGGGACAAGTCCACAATCGACAATTTCGCAGGCATCCAAAAATGGTGGTAAATTATTTGCACAATTTAGAAAAAAAGTTAGAAAAAAATGCAGTAACGACTTTCTCTGAAAATAGATAATACCGCTACCAAGGGACTCAGGGATACGCGGAGGTACCCAAAAATAACCGGAATAGCATTGCAGTGGACGGAGCTTGTGTAGTACATATTTCTGCCCCAAGAGGCATACAGCGCAACTCATTACCAGTTCAGTGCCACCTGAGTCGAACTGGCTTGTTTCGTTCCTCTGTAGTTATTATTTTTGCTAGAGTTCTTTCGTGTTTGTTTCATTTTTTAAGATGGCAATCTTCAGTGAGCAACGTGCAGCTGTGAAATTTCGCTTTCTAATTGGTAAAAATGCTGCTGAAACTGTTTTAATGTTGAAAAAAGCTTAGAACGATGATGCTATGGTAAAAACTCAGGTGTACGAGTGGTTTGCTGATTTTAAAAATGGCGACATGTCGATTGATGACAAACCTTGCTCTGGACGTCCATCAACTGCCCGAATCGACGAAAATACCGAAAAAAATCGAGAACTTGTGCTATTGGGAGGTTTTAAGATTATTGCGAAACAGTGTTCGGTAAAAAAGACCCGATTTGTGGCAGTCAGGAAACTGGTTCTTCCACCACAATAATGCACCTGCGCACACAGCCACCTCTGTTCGACACTTTCTGGCAAAATATGGCATGGTTCCGCCGCCTCACGCACCTTATTCGCCTGACCTGGCTCCGTGCGACTTTTTCTTATTTCCACGGATGAAAAGAGGCATGAAAAGATGCCGCTTTGACGACATTGAAGAGGTCAAGAAAAAAACGAGGAGCTGTTAGACATTTCTAAGGAAGACTGTTTCGAGCAGTGGAAGCACCGGTGGGACAGTGGACAGTATTTTGAACTTTGTCAAAAAGCTTAAAATAAATAGCTTTTAAAAAAAATCCGTTTTTTTAGGTACCCCTTCGTTTACTGCTCTCCCAAGACAGTACTGTACCAAATTTATTGGAATTTCAATGAACGATTCTTTGGTTCTAATAATTAATGAAGCATTATCAGGAATCTAATCGATTTCAACCAACCCCTTAACTGGATATAACCGGCTCCTTAACTTTACAACAATTTTCTGAGGGAAAGGCTATTTGCTTTTCGGAAGATATGTGCATGCCTCGACCTTCTGGTAACATAACACCTTTTTAGGGTACGTTGGAAATTCTCAGTTAAGGTTGTTGTTTGCGGTGACCTAAATGTCGACTATTCTTAACCAACTATAAGTACCATGATGTTTCAAGACCTTTCGGATCAGTAAAACCACTGTAATGAGCCCACCCGTTACACCATCGGCAAGAACACAATATCCAGTGTATGATTGAAAACATCTGCTATCTATCTGTAGGGATATCAGAATTAGGAGTGCACGATTCTGCCATAACCAATTCGACATGGTTATGTTCAGTATTGAAACTGCGGCGATTGACAAATAGCGTAGGACATCCGAGTATCGAATTTTATGTGAGCCGACAACAGCTTTTTATAAACCGGTTCTCAAGTCAAGTAGGCCGGCGAAAGCTGCCGCCTACATCCTTACTATCGCACAGCCCAGCAGAGCACGCCCGTGCATTAGTGATAAGTAATAATAATCGTGTCAAACTTACAAATCTCATTCAACGAAATATCAGATATAAGTTTTCGGTGCCCAGATTATTGATACCTTTGCACTTTATTAAGTCCGCGTGTTTAGGACAAATTTCTAGAACATGGTAGAGGTATTTTTAGAGCAACGTTGCTACACCTACCGATCAAAATTGGTATGGTCTGAATAGTTTCCGACCTCCACATGATGATGGCAGCACTCTCAAATGAAAGCTAGTGAATTTCTTTGTTCATCTGTTGACAGTTAGTCTAGAATGTTTCAGCCATTTTGGACGCGCAGTTGTTATGCAACAATAGTTTGAGTGAGCTGATGTGAGTGATTTTGTGAAAATGGACAAAATCGAGTATCGGGCTGTCATTAAATATTTGTGTTTGAAAGATAATACGCCTACGCACATCAAATATGAGTTGGATTGTGTGTATGGGAACTCTGCTCCGTCATTTACCACAATGAAATTTTGGGCAGCTGAATTTGAACGTGGCCGTAAGAGCTTGGCAGACGATGAACCAAATGGTGCTAGACGACCGCCGAATTGAAGTGAGAGAGATAGCAGACCTTATGAACATTTCAAAAGAACGTGTTTGTCATATATTAAATCAACATTTAGGCATGTGCAAGCTGTCAGCGCGTTGGGTGCCGCGTTTGCTCACATTAGACCAAAAACGTGTTCGAATGAAGATGTCCAATGCTCTGTTGGCATAGTTAAAGCGCAATAAATCCGTGTTATCTCGCCGTATAATTACTGTGGATGAAACTTGGATATGTCGGAGCCAACTGGCAAAACTAGCCGTTCAATAAACAGCCTAGCCTCTTTACCAAACAGCGCTGTTCAACTAGCGGCCTGAATGATGTTCAGCCATTTGATCAAACAGCTAGGCAACTGGCTTAAAGCGATAGCGTTTAACTACCTGCCTAGCCTGTTCATTTGAATTTAGTTCCACTTTCTGCCACCTTGTGCCGAAACTCTTAAAACTGTCAATATGGCGTCGGCAAACAACAAATTTGATGGTGTTTTCCAAAGTTTAATGAAAAATAGTACAATGGAACAGTGTTGTGACAATAATAATGTGAATTTAGCTGTGACTGACGAACAGCTCAAGGTAAGTTTGTTTTGATTCCTTCGTAATTATTCTTTGTTCTATTGTGAAGTATGTAATAAATTACCAAGGGTATATAATTAATGTGGTTTATATTTTATCATTGCAAGATCGCATGGAAAGCTTGAACAGCAGAAAGAATTTTGGAGGTTATGAACGACATAAAAAAAGCTAAGGTTGCCATGAGTTCTGGACACCGAAGGACGGCAATGGATTATTATTGGATGGGCAAATACGACATTATGACAACTGCAAATGAAGATTCTTTAATTTTTAAAAGACTCACGGCGACTGATCCCACAGTACGCATTTTACCTAGAGAACAGTATTTTGATATCTTGTTAGATGTACATAAATCCTGCGGTCATGGTGGGCGAGATAAAATTTGTGTACGACATAAAGAACAGATATTATATTCCTAAGAAAGCAGTAGAAATTTTTGTGTCTTTGTGTCCTATATGTGAAACTAAAAGAAACGCACCAAGAAAAGGTATTGTGACGAAGCCAATCGTCTCACGTGATTTTAATTTAAGAGGACAAGTCGACCTTATGGATTTTCAGTCCTGTCCCGATGGTGAGTTTAAGTGGCTTTTAAATTATCAAGATAATGGAACCAAATTTCTGAAACTTAAAACAAAAAGGGCTGCTGAGGTAGCTTTCGAGCTGATGAAGATTTTTTTGACATTTGGAGCTCCCTACATTTTACAATCGGACAATGGCCGTGAATTGCCTGCAAATGTAATAAAAGAATTAGTTACAATGTGGCCTGAGTGCAAAATTGTTCATGGGAATCCACGTCGTCCCCAAACTCAAGGCAGTGTCGAGAGAAGCAACCAAGACATCGAAAATATGCTGCGAGCATGGATGCATGAAAACAAATCAACAAACTGGTCTGTGGGCTGTTTTTTGTGGTGCCCGAATTGATTTTTTCAAAGAACCCCCTTTATAGAAAATATTTTTTTTTAATTATTCTGAAAATTCAAGGATAGGTACATACTAAAATTCGTTAATTTTTTGCCTATTTTTAGATAACTTAAACGTATAAGAAGCGGAATTTAATCAAACTAACAGTGAAATTATTGTTGAACATACGTTTATGTTATAATTAATAAACGAACTCGCTTATTGTACTATTTTAAGTAAAAAACTTTTTTTTATTATTTTTCACTTTTTTTTTATTTCATCCCTCTTATTTTTTTTTCAATGCGGGCACTTATTCCCAATGCGGGCACTTATTGGTCAGACACCTGTTTATTCAATGTTACGTATATTTTACATAACAGATACAAAATTTTATTTTGAGTAGTTTTAATTTAAATTCAATTAATAAATGTATAAATTAACATGTGTTTTTACTTTGAGTTTTTAACACAAAACTTCACTACAGTTAGAAATTTACAGGAAATCAATATCAGGTAAGCAGGGGTTCTACCCAACACGGAAAAACATGGCAAGAGGTCTACGACACAAAAAAGTTTGGGGAACTCTGCTATATATCAGTAAAATAGTGCGTCACAGAAAAAAAATACCTGAGGGGAGGTTTTTATTGTAGCAATATTTTAACGGTATTATTTCCAAACAAATATATCTTTCGTCCGTGAAGTTTGTCAACAATGTATTAGGATTGAAAGTGTTAGTATTTAATATAGGTATTATAATTGGCTATATGTATTTTGTTTCGATCCTAACCTAAGGTAGTTAATTTTTGTTAAAATAATGGCGAGTGAAAGCACCAACTGCCTCAGAAACAACGACTGCCAATATTGTTCGTTTTGTCATTGACAAATCAGTTTGAAAGATTGTTTAAGGCCGGTTCTAGCAAATAAGTATTATTAGTAGGTAGTATGAATTTTCCGAAAATCTCAATCACATGGAGTGGCGGTAGCGCCACCCGCGATCAAAATATCACGAGCTACCTACTACTGCCCGCCGAGTGGAAATTACTTTTGCAAGATTTAATCTTTAATCAAACAGTCGGCAAGCTGATTTGAAAGTATGCTTTCAGGTGCGTCAGATAAGTGGAGTGCTTATGCAAGACGGCGTTGAGATTTCCTTACGCTCAAATTTGAAATTATAACAAGATATTATTACCTCTTTTCTTTCATCATCCAGAAAGTATGAGAAAAATTATATTTAAATTGTAAATTGGGATAACCGCTAAGACATTCAGATTTTATAAAAGTTATCACAATGATGGTAAAATAATGTAGTATATTCGAGAGAAGGCAGGTCAACTTGAACATCGCAAAACGTGCAATTTCTTGGCTTTTTAGACAAAATTCTGCTCTGAGATATACCTAAGCAGAATCGTAACGGTCGATACTAACAACTTTCATTCGACACAATTAGTGTTTAAAAAAAATAAGCGCTAAAGAATAAAGCACGCGTGCAAAATTAAAGAATTAGAACAATCTTATAAAATTGTACTTATTTCTGTAGGTTTCCGTTGGACACAAAGGCAAAAAATAGCTCTTGTATAGATATAGCGTTATAGTTACATCCTTCCCTAGTGAAACTGTGTCATGTTTACTGCATCAAACTTGAAAAGCATAATGGAAATGCGTTCATGAAGCAAAAGGAAAGGTTCACCAAAAAGGATATACATATTCGATCTACAGAACAAAATATTTAACTCGCAAGTTATTCTAAATCATAGCAGCATACTGAACTACAGGTCCGTAGAGGCCTCTACTATTTATTGAAGTTTTGTTGGTCTATAGCATGCACTTGCTCTGATATCAAATAGATTCAAAAAGGATCAAACTGTCTTTTGGTGAGACTTTTTTTACAGTGTATTGCTTTTTTGTGACATTATGTAGGTTTTTCTTCAAGATCTTAACTTAGCACTAGCTGATGAACACGTTGTGAACTGGTTTTGTAATTATACATGTTGCTTGAACGTCATGATGCTCCAGTTATCAATATTTGGCTCTGATGTGATGTAAAATCTGCTTCAGAGATAGTATTACTGGAGGTCTAAGCTGCAAGTTGTATACTATAGCTAGAAGGATGTGAGGCATTGCGAAAATGTTTGATGTGTGATGTGTCATTACTAATTTTTCTGTGATGTCTCGAAGTGCTCAAAGTTTTTGAAAACGCAAAAAAAAGGAAAAAATCGTAATTTATAACTTAACCAGTCTTTAGAAATGACAACATATAAATAACCCGTCGGGCACAGCTAATAGATATACTTCATTGGCAGCATAATCAGTGATAGTTACACATGCAGACCAATACGCATAATCATCCAAATGCGATCTTGCTATTCAACCAACTTTCATCTCAGAAATTAAAATTACAGACTATTCGGATTCACAAAACATATGCAACCAACAAAGCGTGTAGTTGAGTCATTCCTCCATAGATGGACGCTCACAGCGGTCATAGCGAGCAAACGTGGAATGAACTATTTGCACCTCAAACACTCATTATTTCTTTTTACGTTTTATATGTTTTTTACATCATTCCCGTGCGGCATATCTGGTTAAATCTCTAAACTTCACTCAAGAAAGGTTACTTGTTATTACTGTCTACTATCAACTGTCACTTAGTTTTCTATTTTGCGGACCTCTTTCGTTTAACCCACCGTTTTGCGTTGGATCCAAAACCTTTAAAAATACAAAAAAAAAACGCAACCAAAACAGTCGAAAGCTTGTATATGGTGTGCATAAGAACTCTGCATAAGATTACCACTAATCATCACCTAAATAAGCACAGTTATTGTGGTAAATAGCGTTACGAGCCTACAAGTCGCGACTTATCACGATTTTGCTGACAAAAATGTGGCTATCAAGCATTTATATATTCTCTGCGTATAAAAACCAGTGATGGGCGTTTACGCGTATTCATTAATTGTCTACGTCTCGGTGGAAATAATGCGTATGCAATGTATAGATTCCGTATACAATGTATAAAATGATGTATAAAATGATGAAGACAATGTATAGAATAGCATAAGTGAGGTTAGGTTTATTCGCAAACGTCAGAACAGTGAACCGACAACTTTAAAAAAATGTGGTTGGACGCTCCAAGAACAAAAAAATCGATGAACTAGTGGTTTGTTGTTCCTAATTTATTTGAAACTGTATCTTTGTATACGTATATAAATAAATATTATATATTTTTTAATTATTTATAAACTGCTTTCACAGTCAAACCAATAATGCAATGTTGCAGAATTTGTACCTATCCTGAACTTTCAGTTCCACCTAACATCGGAGAACCATTAGGATAGGTCTGGAATTGATCTTAAAGAGATTCGACAGAAATGTGTATTTGAGCGTAGAAAACAAGGCGTTTCAGCAAGTTACAGTCATGTTCTGTGTCCTTCATGACTCCTTCTCTCTCTCTCTCTTCCTCGTACACATGGAAGTCTAAAAGGGAAAGGGACTTTCGCCAGCACTGTATGCAAGTAGTTGAACTATGATTTGCTATTGTACACATTATATACATTGTATACATTGTATACGTGAATATCGAGACGTATATATTCACCATTGTATACGCGTATACAATGGTATACGTATTATATATGATATATACAATGCGGCCATCACTCATAAAAACGCATAAAAAGGATAACTGAGAATGGCTTCGAGTAGGTTGACTCGGCATTTCTCACATTTTACTATCTACAAACAAATCCAAATATCACTGTAGGCGAAATAAGCACGAGAAGCGTGCATTTCGTATGTTAGAAAGGGTGCACCAGAAGCAACGCGGGAGGCCGCAGCTGCGTCCGTGATCTCGTCACTTGAATTGCTAGGCAACGTGGTAATTCTATCTCTTTCTAACATACATATTGCGTACACATTACGACGTCAATGGCATATGGATTTTTATTTTTCTGAATGTTTAGATACATACAAAATTATTTACACTGAGATTAACCAAAAATATAGCTCAGGAACAGGAACAGAAATTGTAAGCGAGCGTTACCTGTGATTATATGATGCACGCCTGCCGTCCAGATATTCAATAACCTTATTTTTTACTATGCGTTGAAGTGACCAGAAAGTAGACAACTCAATTTTGAGAATTTTGGAGATTGGCCTCCGTACAAGTGGCCAACAATTCTGAATCAATGGACTATATGTATGGGCCTGTCCGATTGATTTGCCCCTTTTTATTTCTCTGTTATACATGCTTGTAACTAACTTTTGGCTAACCTGTGCTG